AATTAGTTTAAAAATCTCTCTGGGTGATGTTAACACAGCTCCTTGCCCCAAGCTGCTTCTCTGGGTTTTATCTCTCAAAAAAATCTCCGCCTCCAGTCCCCTCACATCACACCCCCATAAACTACATATTTCTCTTCAAGTCAGCGTTAAAGATCAGTATAAACATAACGAGGCAGAGTTTTAAAATAAAAGAAAAAACATACTGTATGTTTATGAAAAACTTCTCATGGTGTTTAGATAAGTGCTCTTTCAGTCTTGATCCTTGAAAAACAAATGGCGGTCTATCATTGTATCCAAAGGCAGCATTTGGTCTTAAGTTTTGGCAAGAAGCTCAAAACTGAATAACAGTTACAATCTAAATAATGAACTAAATAATGAATCATAGTGTTCCTGAAGCAGAATGGATGTGTTTTTTTTTTTAAACCATAATTCTGCTTAAGAAATGTTATAAAGGATTCTATTATGGTGCAAAATGCTCCTTTCAACTCTAAAATAAAATCCTTATAAAACAGAGGCTGCTTTGAAGGCGCAAGTTCCAGGCTCCATACATGCTGTCGCCACCATAAAGCATGAATCAACACATCAACATGGCTTCCTTTTTTTTTTTTTTTTGGTCTGAGAAAAACTGTCAAGTAGTAACATGGTTAATTGGCAAGCCTTCTCAGTTCATCTCTGCATGACTGTAACAGGCCCTCCGATTTGTTCTTTCTTTCCCCGTCCTTGTTTATATCCTAACTCACCTGGATTGTTTGTTCCAGAAAACTTCTTATCCCTGTGAGTGATTCCATTGTCTGTTACACTGCAAACTGTCCCGGCTGTAAATGGAATCTTCCCCAAGTACAGCTCCACTCACAACCGCCTCAAAGTGTAAAGTTCTCAGCCTGCTTTGCCAATGCCACCAGCCTCCAATGGCATGTTCCAAATTCCAGCCTCAGTACCTTCGTTTTCAAGAATTCCTACTTGTTTATGAGAGGTTGCAAAATTTCTGTAAAGGAGAGGGATGCTAGGACAGCCATGTGATTCGAAGGGCTGAGGGCTTTTTGAAGCTACGGTTGCAAAAATAACACAGTGGTTTTATTATATTGTAGCTCCATTTTTTTGGGGACTCGGGAGTGGAAGTAATTTACAGATATGATGATTATGGAGAATAGGGTTGCAGATGCTAAATCCTATTATAGATTGTCCTATGGTGTATTTTGGAATTTTTATCTTCCCCAATGCACTCTATGCTACTACCTGTCTGATGCCTACTCATTTTATAAAGCCTACCTCAAGTCTTAATTCCTGACAAATAACTCTTGAAAATCTTTAGTAATTTCCTTAATGTTCCTTGAGTTAGCCTCGCATTGTTAATCATGTTTGGAAATACATATGGTGTCTCAGCTAGACAACAAATAGGTTAAACAGGAGGAAAGAGTCTATCTTATACCAAAGTATCTACATAGTATTTAAGATGATTCTCTTGAGGTAGCAGACATTTAACCCACACTTTGCCCATTGACTTAAATACCTAAAAATTTTTAAACTTTTTATAGTGTTTATTCATTTTTTTTTTTTTTGAGAGAGAGAGACAGACTGTGAGTGGGGGAGGGGCAGAGAGAGAAGGAGACACAGAATCCAAAGCAGGTTCCAGGCTCTGAGCTGTCAGCACAGAGCCCAATGTAGGGCTTGAACTCATGAACCACAAGATTATGACCTGAGCCGAAGTCAGACGCTTAACCTGCTGAGCCACCCAGGCGCCCCTAAATAACTAAAATTTTAATGGAAAGAATAAAACATAAGTATGTGCAAGAAAGTAACTATAAACCTGAGATTATCCAGAAGCTTAGAACTTTGATCAGAAGACCTGGACTCCATTCCACCGCTGCGACTTTTGCTGAGTCAGTTAACCACATTCTCACAGCTTCCTGAAGCCAAAGAGCACATGAGAAGGGCTGACTTTTTCAGCCTGGAGTGAGGATCCAGTGAGAAAATGAATGGGAAAGTACATTGTAAGCCATGAAAGTTTAAACAAATGGTTACCCACAAAATAGACTGGACCATCTTTTAAAATTTTTTTAAGTGTATTTATTTTATTTATTTTTGACAGAGAGAACCAGCAGGTGGTGGGATAGACACAGAGAGGGAATCCCAATCCATACTGGTCGCACAGAGTCTGATGCAGAACTAGATCCCACAGTGCTGAGATCATGACTTGAGCCAAAATCAAGAGTCAAACACTTAACTGACTGAGCCACCCGGACCCCCCTGACCAACTTTTTAAATATAATAATCATGTTGTATCATTCTCTTTTTAAAAATATTGCATCATTCTTAAGCTTATTAAAACATTTTACCCGGAATAATAGGCTCTCTCTAGCCCCTGTTTCTACAATGACCCACCATTTATTTGTGCAACTGAATTAAGTGCCCCGCCCACCTTCTGTATATTGCCCTTTCCCCTTCCCCCCCCCCCCCCCCCCCCAGTCCTGCTCCTTCTTCTCTTAGGTCCTCTTGCTTTGGGTCTGTTATAAATGTTTTTTCCTGGCTACAGCGATGTGGGTCCACCCAGCAACTTGGAGGGTTTGGCTCAGGGGCTGCCCAGAAGGAGGTGTTGTACTGACTCCATCTCCCCAGAGGCCCCTAGTGCTATATCAGGCAGAAGCCTTACCCACTTAAGGAGCCACCACCTCTGCCATGAGCCCCCAGGCTTGTCTGTTCCAAATAAACTGACCGTTCACAGGCTGCAGGAATCAGGATTATTCACCTTGCCCTGTGGGGTACAGGAAGACTGAAGAGGAACCAATGAGCAGCCTTTGGGGGCTGGGTGCTGGGAAGCTTGGAGGTTATTACACAAACGGAAAAGCTACATACGAATAATGCGCAAGTAGCCTGTGGAATAAATATGGATACACACACATACACAAAACAAACAAAAAACTCATTCACACCAGCCCACTCTGGTCTCCCTTTAATTCCTGTGACATTTCAAGTCTCTTCTGTGGCTGAGTCTTCCTAGTCTTCAGTTCTTGGTTCAAATGCCACCTCTGCAGAGATCTTTCCAGAACATCCTATCTAAACATCCTTCACTCATGCATTGCCAGGTTGTTCTCTATCCCACCATCTTGTTCTTTCACCTCCTGATACTGACAAGTGTTTGAAGTCACCTTGTCCATTTTTTTGTTTATTTATTCATGATCTTCCCCTACCTCAGGGTTGAGGACTTGTTCTCTCCTCTGTCTCCACACTGAGTGGACACTCAGTGAGTTTCATGAAAGTTGAGCAAATGAGTGAATGATTCAAACAATGATCGAAACCCAGGAACAACAGGGCCAAGAGAATAATTAGAAGAAAGTTCAGGAGGAATTAGCCATAATAGACGTGAAGCTGACAGATACAAGCCAGTAGTGGGCAAAATAAAGTATGGAATTGGGAAAGATATGGAAAATTATAATATAAAAAGATTAAGAAAGAAAGGACATTCTTCTGGGGAAGTCATAAAGCTATTAGTTTTAGGAAGTAATATTTTAGGTAGAAAAGGAACACTCAATATGTCATTTGAGAGATTATATTAATTATATGTTTCAGCTTCCTGTGTTTATGAGCAACACATTTCCAATCTAGTTGCAACCTACTGAATATGGGAAAGATGAGAATTTATTTTAGATCTCAGACTTCTGGGAAAACAGGGTGACTCTTTGAGCCCACAAATGCAGGGACATATTTGGAGCCTGCTTCAAAGGACAATTTTACTCTCTCCTTGTAAATTTTGTCCACCAAAAAGCCAAATTTCTTTCCAAGTTACAATGTTTCAGCAGAGTCCCATTGCTCATGTAGTGATTTGCCTGAGGCCTTTGGCAAAGTCTTTCTTGTCATTTTAAAAAATGCTAATTTTTGGAATTAACTTAGATCTGTGTCTGATGCCAACCTTTAGCCATTGGATGAACAGCTAGTGACCTGAAACATTTTGAATATTACAACCATCAAATTTCTGTCTCCTCTTTCATTTTACTTTAGGTATTCTTGTCTTCTGATTTACGATTTTCCCTCACATAATCTCTTGTGCATGGAATAGATCTAGCCCACAGTAAAATTATCAAATTATGAAATAATTGAAGTTTCTTTTTCACTCATTCCCAGGCTTGCTATATTCAACTTCTCCTAGAAGAAAAGCCTTTGCTTTACATGCTCTGGTCCCCCCCCCCCCATATTCCCCATACCCCTTGAATCATTCTTTTCTCTTCCAGCTTATTCAGTACAGCTCATTCAAGGCAAGATTTAGATGTTAATCATTTCTACTTCTATATGAACTAAATACATGGTGTCAAGGTTTTAAAAGCATTTAACTCAAAGAAGTAGGTTTCAACTCTGGTTGCCCATCATAATCATGCAAGAATCATTTAAACTATATCTGTATCTGAGCCTTCCACCCCTAAATATTCTGATTTAGTTTGTCTTAGATGGAGCTCAGCATCAATATTTTTTAAAATATTCTAGGTGATTTTTAGGTACAGGATTGAGAGTTGTTGACCTAAAGCCTAATCTCTCTTCTTGCAAGGACAGAATTTTGTCTCCTAGGAAGGCAATCTAACAAAACTAAGAAGATATTCTATCAGCAAAGGTTCTAGAAAGAGAAGTTGATCCACTCTGTGTATTATGGACAAGAGATTTATTATAAGATATTAGACTTCACATATTGTGAGAGGAGGTGCATAAGTAAAGATCAGAAACGGAAGCTGTAAGGTCAGAGAGAAGTAGCTACCAGCCCTCCTAAAGACCTGGCACGAGTGGTCTTCGCAGTGACATCCAGGGAGCCAGGCCCTCTTGGCTGCAGACCGAGGCTGTGAAGGCGAGAAGGCAGAGAAATTTGCCCCCAGGGGTGTGTCTGGCTCAGGAGGGACCCCTGCAGGGGAGATAGGTTGCAGTCAGCAGGGAGAAGGCCACAACGCTGGAACGCATACCCCTTTTCTCTCTCTCCCTCTCTCAGGTAGCTAACTAACAATGTTCCTTTTGCCCTGCAGATCTCACCCAAATTTCTCTTTTGACCAATGCTAACCTGGAGCAAAACAGAGAAGGAGATGCTACAAAGATACTTTTTATGGAGCCAAGTTGATACCTACAGGTGTCAAGAGGAAAACACAGTACATTTGGGGATTTAGACACCAGCCGCAGATAGCGATCTACGTTCTGCTTACTTCATCAACAAGTAAGGCTAGTCTTGCCCCAAAACATCTTCTAATAACCTCAAAGCCATTAGGATGGCAATTACTAACGTAAAAGCAAAAACAAAAAAACAGATGATAATAATAATTGTTGATAAGGATGTGGAGAAATGAAAGCCCTTGTGCTTGGTGGGAATGTAAAATGGTACCAATACTATGGAAAACAGTATGGCATTTCCTCCAAAAATTAAATACAGGCTTATCACGTGGCCCAGTAATTTCACTCCTGGATATATACCCAATAGAAGTGAAAGCAGGTGTTCAGACAGCTATTTATATGCCAATGTTCATAACAGCATTATTCACAATGGCCAAGAGATGCAAGCAACCCAGTGTCCACTGCTGGATGAATGAATAAATCAATGTGCCATATTAAAAACAGTGGAATAGTATTCAGCCTCAAAAAGGAAGGGAAGTGGGGCACCTGGGGGGCTCAGTGGGTTGTGTCCGATTTCAGCTCAGGTCATGATCTCACAGTATGTGAATTCAAGCCCCACATTGGGCTCTGTGCTGACAACTCAGAGCCTGGAGCCTGCTTCAGATTCTGTGTCTCCCTCTCTCTCTCTGTCTCTGCGCCTCCCCCTCTCGCATCCCGTCCCTCTCTCTCTCTCAAAAATAAACAAACATTAAAAACAATATTTTAAGAAAGAGAAGTCTGACATATGCTAAAACATGGGATAATCCTTGGAGACATTATGATAAATGAAATGAGTCACAAAAGGACAGATACTGTATGATTCCACCTATATATGTATCTAAGTGCTCATTCATAAAGACAGAAAGCAGAGTGGTGGGTGCAGGGGTGGGGGACAGGGGAATGAGCAGTAGACACAATTTCACCTTTGCAAGATGAAAAAAGTCCTGGTGGATGGCAATGATGGCGGCAAACAATCTGCATGCAGTTAACGTCATCAAATTGTACACTTAATGGTTAAGATGGTAAATTTTATGTTATGCGTATTTTACCACAATTTTAAAAAAGGAGAAAGAAAAAAATCATGGAAGAGGGGAGCCTAGGTCTGTTTATTTATTTTTAATGTTTTATTTATTTCTGAGAGATAGTGTGAGCAGGTGAGGGTCAGAGAGAGAGGGAGGTACAGAATCTGAAACAGGCTCCAGGCTCTGAGCTAGCTGTCAGCACAGAGCCCGAGGCACAATGCTCGAACCCACGAACCGCGAGATCATGACCTGAGCCGAAGTCGGACATGAGCCAAAGTCGGACACTTAACCGACTGAGCCACTCAGGTGCCTTTAAGTCTGTTTAAAAGGCTGAAGCCTCGCATGCCCATGTTAACTAACTCCCTGTGCTCTTTGATTGAAGGGAATAAAAGTCACAGATAACTCAGAAAACTAAAAAAGGTGGAAATAATGAGCTGTCAGGAAGAAAGGGAAGAGGAGGCAGAAACAGAGGAGACCACTCAGAATACTAATTTGGAGAGGAGTCTACATCAATGGCCACAACTTAATTGATTTATGGGAAGTTGGAATGTTCTAAAGACAAAAGGAAACGACATAACCAGCAAACAATCCAGGAGGGGGAAACAATAAATTGTTTGTGGAAGCTCTTTGATTAATAATATGTATCTGTAAAAAAAAAAATCCATTCTACATCCATCAAAATACATAATGCAACTTTCAAAGACTCAGAAAAAATAACAAGGTATAAAAGGTGTTAGAAGTCACCAGTATTTCTGCAAAACAGTATTTAAAAGATTACAGCAGATGGAATCACAGCCATTAAACACTGTGAATAAAAGAGTAAACCATTATTGCTTTTAAAGGACATCTGAGTGTGTCCGTCTGAAAGGAAATATGCATATTATCAGAAATTATCTTTAGAAGTTGAGATTCACAGAAATAGTTTTCGTCGTTCCTTTGTATTTCGTCGTGCATTTGTCATGTATTTGTGCTGTTTGAGTTTCTAGCAAGAATAATACATTACTTCTATGATCGGAAAAGCGGTAATGCTGTTTCAGACGAAACAGAAAAAGGCTCCCCACTTCTAGCGAGGTGTCCTTCCTACGAATGCGGGGGAGGGAGGTGATCAATACCTCTGCCCACTTGGGAGGGGAGGAAGTCTGCCTCGCGGGGCTGGGGAATCAGCACCCGGAGGGATTCCGAGAGCCTCGGGGCCTTTCCTGCGTCGGCCGCTCGGGCCACGACGGCGCGGTTGCGGCTGCAGGCGTATAAACAAGGTCGTCCGCGCGCGCGGAGACGCTGACTCGTCCCCAGTGCCGGAGTGAGTCAGCAGCTGCCGACCCGGGTCAGAATGCGCTCACGCGGGTCAGTTTCCGTGACCCGAAGGCTGGGGGTTAGGAGGGAGGACTCTGCAGCGGAGGAGGTGGAGGAGGATCTTGGGGGCGGTTGGGGGAGGGAGGACTCTGCAGCAGCTGCAGGGGGATCGCGGGGCGGGGGAGGCAGCCCGGACGGCGCACGGTCACTGCTGGAGGCTGCTGCGTCCTCCGCCTGGATGAGCGAGGGGAGCGATCCTCTTCCAAAAAAACGATATAAATCTGGCCTGAAGCCGGCACCAGGCAGCAGAGACGGCGTGGGTCTGGTCTGGTCACAGCTCAGTTTCCATCAGGACAAGCCGCAGGTTTCAGCCGTTTGCAGCTCTGCAAGGAGACGGAGGCTACCAGCCCCCCAGAGCAGACGTAACGCTTGTTTTCTGGCAGCTCCTGGCTGGGCGCTGCGGGCTGACCCTGGAAACTTCCTTTGCTTCGATGGGTGGAGTCTTTATCCCTCCCCTGGGGTTGAGCCCTTGTTGATTTCTGGGCATCCCAAGGCCGGCCTGGGAGAATCAGGCAGTTGCTTCTAAGCGGATCGTTCACAACACGCCCAGGGAAGCTCTCACTAGAGTACCGTTCGTTGTGGCTGAAGCAGCCAGCTGACCTGGATCCTGAATGCCCACCTCCTGCGTGGTTCTCAGCCCGGGCGAGTCTGGCTCTGGGCTGGCGGCCGTCGGGCACTGGGGCTTTCCAAAGCTCCCCGGGATTCTAATGTGCAGCTAAGGCCGAGAAGCGGGTCTGCTGAAAGGCCCTGTCGGCCTCCCGGATTGAGCGGTGCGGTGGAGCGTCCTGAGCCTGCTCTCCGGGAGCGCTGGGGCCAGGCCTCCCGGTTAGTGGGCTGAGATTTCTTAGAGGCCGCGCTGCGACCCTCTTCCAGGAAGGCTGACACCGGCTGCTGCTTCTGGGGCAGAGCGTCACTGCAAGGATGTCACAAGGGAACCACGCCCGGCACCCAGTCCCTTCTGCCCACCTCCTGCCTCCCAGGTCTCTCTCTGTCTAGTGCCCCCTAGGGGCACAACCTAGAAGACCTAGTCGGCAAAGTAGAACAGGAGTTCGCACAGAGCCCCCGAAGATCACAACGGCTAGGTTTGGTGCCCAAAGACACCGAAACATGATTTATCTATAGTCGGTTCAGAACCGAAATCTAGTTACACACCCCGCCCACCCCTGCTCCCTTCCCAAACGTTTGGGTTAAATTTGAAACTCTTCCATGGAGCCCTCTGTCCACCACCGTACTCCCTGCCGGCCCCATGTGCAAGGCACCCCTGCTTGCTCTCCGTCCTCACGCTCACTACTGCCAAAGGCATAGGCCGAAATCTAGAGGCCAAAACTTAACCGATGGAGCCACCCAGGCGCCCCTAAAAATACAGTTTTTAAAAGGGGCCACAGAGTTTCTAGTTAACTGTAACCCATTCCTCCCTGAGGGTGAGGGATCTTGTCTTTTTTTTTTTTCACTGATGAAACCCACGTGCCTACAGCAGTGGCTCACACCGAGTCAAAGGGCACAATCAGGCCTCTTACCTGGGGCCAACTGACTCATCAAACCTGCCTGGGAAGGCTGATTTGACACAGGAAACTGTACTCCTGCTAACACAGCGTCTGCCCGCCAAATTGGGTAAACTATGGCTTCAGAGGATATTGTAAGGACGTGGGTTTTTACTCCATCCAAGATGGGAAGTTACTGGATTCTAAACAGAGGAATCGCACACATTTTAACCTTGTTGCTTGGTCGGCTGTTCTGAGCCCTTTCTTGGCCTGGTTAAGCCTTGGACTTTTGATTTCGGCTTAGGTCACAATCTCATAGTTTGTGAGTTTGGCCAGGCCTGGGGGTCTGCACTAAAGGTGTGGAGCCTGCTTAGGATTCTGTCTCTCTCTCTCTCTGCCCCTCTGCTGATCGTTCTCTGTGTCTTTCTCGGAAAAAAAAAAAAAAAGAACTTTAGCTAATGTGGTTAGCCAGGTATCTTTCTCAAAAATAAATAAAAATAAATTAAAAAAAAAAGAACATTAGCTAATGTGGTTAGCCTTTCCTTTGCCAGGAAGATTATGTCCATTGTCACACTTAATCTTGGTGATGGATTTTACGATTTCAATTTTACTCTAGAAGCTAACAAGAATAAGAGACCAGCCCAAAGTCATGTAAATAGTAATTAACTGGCCTAGAGTTGAACCATCCTATTATATTCCAAAGGCCAAGACCAATCTGATAGCCACCTTACCTTTCACAAAATAAATGAACTTTTCAGAAGAGCCTGTGGTCCTGTCATGGGGTCAGAGGTACACAAAATCTGGCCACTGAAGCCCCAGTAAGAATAATAGTGTATATAATTTATAAGAACGTTTACATCCATTATATCATTTGATAAACATCCCAGTAAGAAAAACAGTAGTCCCTTAACTTAGAGAAGTGATTATTAAAATAGGGAATGCAGAAGTTAGATTATCAGTATTCTTTATTCTCCACAACCTTTACCATGCTTACTGCTAAAAAACTAAGGGACAAGTAAAAGACTCAGTAACAGAAAACAGGGACGGAACATCATGACAAAATCCTCCTCTGATATTATCTGCAAATTGAAGAATTAGAAGTACTAGTTCTGCAGCTGGGCTTATGAGCCTCATAAAGTGATCCCTAAGGGGGACACACTGGCAGGTCTGACTTGGGTCCAATGCATCCTTCAATCATTGCTGTGCGTTGCTTGATTAGTTGACATCTATATCAAATTTGATTTCCTCTGGACTCCTCATCCTTCATTCAGACCTCTGCATTTTCTGGTCCACCCACACCCTATGTCCCCAGTTTGACCCGATGTCCATGAGCAATTCAGGCTCTTACCCTGGGGATCACCTCCCTCTCTAAGCCGCATCTGCACTTGGCCTGGGACACCCTTGGCCAGAGACTTCTGGGTGTTTCCTTTCCTGCTCCGCTGCCCTTTGCGTCCCTCTGGCAGCACAGTGCTCTGGGCTTGTTCGGGGCTCCACGCCGACGCGCCGGATCACACCCTTGAGGGCCGAAGGTGGGTCAAAATCACTCGTAGGGCTGTTAAAATGCAGATCACCAGGCCTCGCCCCCAGGTTTTGGTTCAGTCTGGGGCGCAGTGTGAGCATAAGCAACTCTTAACAAGTTCCAAGGTGACAGTCATACTCCTGGGTGCGGGCCACCCTGTGAAACCCACTCCTCCAGACTCGCCAGTTGGCAGCATGGGGCTGCGCTGTGTGAATATTTAAAATCTACTAAGTCAAAGACCAAAGCCTGATCAATTAAGTAGCCTAGGATTCTCTAAACGTGAAGCTAAAGGCATCTGTCTATTTAACACGCATTTATTATGTATGCAATGTTAGGTGCAACCCGGTGGGGACCAAGAATTATGACCAGGTCTCCCGGACCTTACAGCCAACGGCATCGGTTGCATTAAGTCATCAAGTAGACAATTACAGTGAATTGAACTGTGCTTCTTTTAGGAAGCTATGGGGCCACAGCGAGGGCACAGGATCCAAACTTGGGGAGTCTGGGCTTGTTTTCTGCAGGAAGTGTTTCTAAGTTAAGATCCAAACCAAGGAATTTTCCAAGTGCCCCCACAAGGTGGGGATTGTGGTGACTCTAAATTTTGACTTTAGAGTATATAGAGTTCCAGACAGTATGCAATGCAAGACAACATAGAGTGCTTAACTAAAGAAATAATGGTGCCTTACAAAAGCACTTTCAGAAACGAATTTGTCTTCCAAAAATAAAAGACAAAAAAAAACAAATGAAATAAGACAAAAGGCAAGTTTAAGCAGAATTAGAACTCCAAGCCCCAGGACACTATTTCTGAGAGATTGGTTCCCTCCAGGATTAAATTGTGTTTCTTTGGAACAGTATACCTCCAAATCCTCCACAAAAATGCTTCGGGAATTTAAAAAGAATAATCCTTGTCATAGCTGACATTTTCAGACTACTAACCACCTTCCAGTTACTCTCAACATATTGACTCATTTATCCCACACACCAACTTATGATGAGAGTAGATCTATTATTTTCCCTCATTTCACGGATGTTAAAAGTGAGATACTGAAGTTCAGTAACTTGCCGGAGATCACACAGAAGGTAGAGAACACAGGATTCAAACCCTTGAACTCTGGGCTTCACAGCCCATCCACACAAGGATTATGATATATTTAAACACTCAGATATGGCTTTCTGTTATAAAAATAATATAAAAGAACCATTTTTTAAAAATTGAGCTATATCGCTACCACGGAGCAAGCTGCTATTTACCTTTTGGAATATCATGTGATAC